CTATTTTTTGTAAAACAGTTGCACCCCCCCCCCCCCCACACACTTTTCTTATGACAGTCACTTTAAGTGGTACTGCAGCTTGATAAATCAGGGCCATTGGTTGATTTAACGGGGAAAGGAAGGAAACGATGAATTTAGGTGATATACAGATCTTCTGTTAGTAAAAGCAAAAGATCTCATTGTTATGTCTGTGGCCATACCGGTGAATCTAGCGCAGGGTCAGTACCTGAAATGAAGAACACATGCTTAAAAGGAGAATGAAGGCACAATGGGATTTTGCTCACCTTGGTTCGGCCATTAACAGCGTAGTTGGCTAGTTTTCCACTACAGTGCATGATAACCTCGTCTATCTTGGACATGAGGATCCCGATGTTCTCGCACCCAGGCTCCTTCCCCTCCACCCAGGCGATCTGGTCACCACGAATGTTTTTGGATGGTATGGTCCTCTGACTGACCAGCTGTCCGTCCCGGAACTTCCCACTGCGGTTAAGTAATTCCACCTCATCGAGGACCCGTGAGCCCAAAGCTTCCCCCAAAAAGTGGTCCTTGACACAAATGCCGTAGTAAGTCATGCACGGGACTATATATTCTAAGGCCATTTTTTGGGCAGTGACCACCAAATTATTGTTCCTTGCCGGTATGGCGCTATTGGGCCCTTCCTGCCTGCAGGTATGGTCTTGAGGGGTCTGGGCATCGGCATGTACCTCGTTTTTCCACCTCTTTCCCTCCATGGGAGGGAATACAGAAGATCCGCTCTCTGGTGCCATCACCATAACGGTATTCTCCGCCAACCCGCCGCCAGTCCATTTTCTTTTAACGGGCAACGCATCCCTTCGCCCATTCACCGCCACGTCTTGGCAACTGCTGCTAGCTTCCAACTCCCTTGAATAGGCACCGGCTACGTCCCTGTTGAATATGGCGGCAGGTCTGGACATTGGCATTTCCCCGTTGGGTGCCACCCGTGTCCTCACTAGTGCCATGGTGCATGATGCCAATGGAGCCTCTTCCTCGGCTTCGGCGGACAGGTCCTCAGTGGCAGTTTTCTTCAGCAGGGCTAAGGGGTGCAGGTGGCACCTGTTGCCCCCATTCAATGCATTGACTGACAAGTGGACGTCCGGAAGCGGGTGAGACGCTTTGATGGTGAGTTCTGGGTACCTGTCTACCCCCATCCTGGCACCCTGTGAAGTGGACACAGCTCTGGAGTTCCCCTGGTCTTGACTGGATGGCTGGACTTCACTCTTTACAGGCTGCCCCAGCTGATGGACTCTATCCATGTCAGTGTCAGCATGTCCCCTGCACGTAGCACACGTCCTAGCCCCATCATTCAGCGGGTAGTGCAGGTCACAGCACCAGCCAGAGGGGGTAGTGCGCTCATTCTAGTCTCCGGCTGGCATGCAGCACTCCTCCTTCTACTCTTCTCCTCCGCAATGACAGGGGAGGTGGTGAGGGAATCGGGTGAAAAGACAACTTTCTCCTGGAGAAGACAGCAGAGTGGTGTGATTAGCTCTCCTCCAGCCCCAGCAGATAACACGCCCTGCCTGCTATCTATGACTGATGCAGTATCTACACCCCGTGCACACTCCCTGTAATCCCGAGCAATGTGCCAGGGGAGCATCTGCACAACTCCGGGGACAGCTGGCAGTGCCAGGCTAACGCGGAGCCTCCCGTCTGCTCTGCACAAGGCAAGTCTACAGGCAGCAGACAGACGGAGAGAGCCCGCAATGGTCAGCTTAGGTGACTTACCGCGTCCTCGGGGAACCCAGACACTTGGCGCCCACAGCTGTCTGCAGGGTGCCCGGATGGCATGTGCCCCCCCCCCAGTTCATATATGCGCGGCCCTAAATGTATAGATCGCCCAGCATAGGGCAGAGCAATGATGTCTGATATCGCATATCTGCGCGCTATAAGTGCAGGAGAGGGCAGAGATGCAGCATTACCTGTCTGCTCTACACCGTGCCATGTGCCCACCTGCACTTTACACTGTGCCCTTTGCACACACTCTGCCCATGCACCTTACCTTGTGCCCACCCTGCCCCTGTGCTCTCTACAGCTTGTCCTCTGCACCTTACACTATGCCCACCCTGCTCTGTGTTCTGTACACCTTACCTTGTGCCCACCCTGCTCTGTAAACCTTAGACTGTGCCCACGCTGCCCCTGTTCCCCACCGTGCCCTTTCCACCTTACCCTGTGCTCTGTCCGCCTTGCCCCGTGCCCACCCCTGTCCCTGAGCTCTCAGGGCTGGATATGAGTGCAAGCTCTTTTGCCCAGGCTCTACAGCGCTCTCAGTGATCGCCCCCTGCCGCTTCTGGACATGTTCAGAGCAGACATCCCCCTCCCGGCGGAGAGGTGGCTGCTTGTGTAATACTAGTGAGCTCCCCCCTCCTTCTGGACCAAGTCTCCCCCTCCATAAGGCTTTGTGTCATATACACGTGCACCATGATCATGTGACAGGGGACAAGCTGCGCTGACGCATAGTGGCCGCCAGAGGGCGCAAGCATGAGCCGATAACAGCAGCGAGTGACAGCGCTGATTCCAGGCGTGAAGCGGATTCTGTATGTTTTATGGTGGTTGGTTGGCATTGGTCTCTACCCCAATTTATTTATACCCGGAGTCCATAAGCCAGTCACCTCCTATTATAAATGCATTGCGAGAGGGAGCAGCTTGTAACACTCTGCATACAGGGATTATACCTGTAGATGGGAATACAATATACAATTGTCAGTTTGCACACCTTGCTGCAGGTGACCATACACAGGCAGATCTGTCACCGACAAGGACAGACAGCAAGAGATCGGGTCGTCCTTGGTTTGATGGCGTGCTGCTGACGGATGCAGCATGTGCACATCCAACGCCGTGCTCTTTTTCACGTGCATAAAATTGCACGCCAATGAGCGCAATCATCACTCAGAGGTGCTCATTATTGCTCTCATATTAACCCCTACTCAACCAGGGGTTCAGATCACATTGAGATCCCATTTAAGACCAATTTGGCTAATATTGCACATTTTTGCATGCGTTCTCTCGTACATTTGCATACGCTAACATGCATGTTTAATGCCCATTGTTATGTGTCTTTAGCACACCACTGTAAAGTGGACCTTTCAATACACATGTGTCACACAGGGCTGCCATTAGAAATAATGGGGCCCCATACAACAAGACTGTCACCCCCCCATGTGTCTCCCCATAAACCCCCCTTCCCCCCAGTGTTTTAGGCACTACCCCCTCCCCCATGCTTGGTGTCTGCTTATGCATTTTATGCTCTACAGTGCATTAGCACCATCAGGGCTTCCTGATGGCGATAATGGCGCAATATGCCTGTGCAATGAGCGTTGGCATCCACTGGAGGCACATGTGACAGCGTGACAATGCAGGAGAGGAATGATGAGCCAGTGACATTGTTGTCACAGAAAGTGTCTGAACAAGAACCTTCATGGCAGGATCACCACCTATTCATTTTATAAAATCTGCAGATTTAAAAATGACAGAAACGTACTTTTGAAATTATATAAAATGTTATTGACTGGGTTTAGATCTGCCTCAATACACAATAGGGATGCACCAATACCGATACTAGATTCGGTATAGTTGCCGATACAGAGTATTTGGATGAGTACTTGTACCAGATTCTTCTGCTCGAGTTTGGAGAAATTCCCCCCCAATGTGTTCTTTGTATGTGTTTAATAACTTTAAATACTTATTACTTATGTTACATCATAATTCAGTTTTTATTAAAGTGAAAGGGTTTTTAAGCTGTTTCAATTCACTACCAATGGATGCTGCTCCGTGATGTTAAAAAGTTTAGTTTCCTGCAGAATCAGCTAGTCTCCTGAGTACTGGTCCTGATATGATGTTTTAGGGTGTCTCCTTTTACCTGCAGGGTCTTATGGAGCCGCCCTTGTGTATGCTCTTACCTTCTCCAAGCTAGTAGATGGACAGCTGCTGGAGACTGCTCTGTCCCTTGTAATCTTATACTCAACATGGATGTTCAGTGAAGACGAGCTGAGAGAGTGGGAGCTGTTCAGAAACATGAGGACTGTTATTGCTTGAGCGAAAATGTAAAGAAACACTTTGCTGGGCAATGTATATTTTTCTGATCTGGATTGATTATTGAAAAGAAGTTTGAGAGTTTGATACTACTTTAAAGCTGAACTCCGAGGAAAAGAAAAAAATCCCCTTTTAGCGATGCTTCCCCCGCACTGCAGTGTCAGGAAACCAGGGGTTCACTTTAAGCCTGATGAAGGGGACCCTACGCGGCCCCAAAAGCGCTTGTTTCCACTTTAAGTGACTTCAAAAATAAAATGAACATTCACTAAAATCTTGACGTATTCTGTCATACTTGGAGTGCTGGTGACATCCATACAACATTTTATCCGATACGGCGCCATCCGTAGTCATTGCGAGCACCCATTTTTCCACATGGGAAGTCCGGTAAGGTGTGCTACAGGTCCTTGGACATTAGGAAACCAGGGGTGTCACCTCCCCCAGGGTCAGCGGGCACGGCGCAGGGTACGGGTCTCCCTCCAGCCTGGCTGAACCACTGGCGCCACTGGCTGTAGTGCCATCACAGCTGGAGGGCTGAAGTTTGGCTACCCATGATCTAAACCTTTTCAAAGAGTGGCAATAGATTTACACAGTACTCCTCCCTCCTGGCTCTCTTCACTATGCGGCCCACCTAGGCCAAGACAGACCATGTAAAATGTGTATGAAATGTATGTGGCACCTGAGTAGGGTTGCCACCTGTCCAGGATTCCCCCGGACAGTTCGGGTTTGGAATGCTGTGTCCGGGTTTCATGGCAGCAGAAACCCAGACACAAGGTGCCAGGCAGACAGGGTGTCAGGGACCCAGGGGGGCTGCTCCTCAACAGGCTCGCCAGCGCGGGCATCGGGCTCAGGCTCGTCCTGGCAGGGCATCTGGCGCTGGGTTTTCCAGTGCGCATGCGCAGACTGCACGATGCGCGCGGTACAAGGCCGTGCGTGCGTGGGTACATGTGCGTAATGCGCCTGCGCCCTCGCCCTCAGGTGCTATTCAGGCTGGGGGAGGTCCCCAGCACTCCTCACCTGCCGCTCAGCCCTGCTATTGGCTCCTGACTTGAGGAAGCTTCCTGGTTGCCCTGGAAGCCAGAGGGTGGTCCTGGGTTTCCCTGTGTATATAAAGTAGGTCAGAGCCTTGACTCATTGCTGAGTTATTCTACCTCATGGTGAACACCCAGTCCCCCTTTGTGAACCTGCCTTTTAAGATTGATCTGACCTCCCGGCTACCGACCTTTTTGATTGACACCATGACTCTGAATCTCACTACCTGCCCCGACCCGGACCTGGACTCGACTATTCTTTTGGATTGCCCTTTGATACCTCGCCTCGGACTTTTATTTCGTCCCTGCCAAGGGGTTCCACTCACGGCCCAGCCATCCGGCTTGACACAGGGTCAACCAAAATTAGGATAGGGCCCCACTGAAAATAGTCTCAACTGTGATATTTACATATGAATGGGTGGTGCTATTTACATATGAATAAGCCACAACTCATTCGCCCCATAAAATGTCCACGCGTTGCTAGAGAGTTCGGGTTTCACTTGAAGAAAAGTTGGCAACCCTACGCCTGAGGGTGAAGGGAAAATATAGTATTCAGCATCTTTTTTGTTTGCTCCAGTTTTGCTACATTGAGGGAAATTTATCCAAACTGGAACAGACAAAATCTGGAGCAGCTGTGCATGGCAACCAATCAGCTTCTCTCTTTCATTTTCAAATATTAACTTTACAGACTGAAGAGAGAAGCTGATTGGTTGCCATGGGCAACTGCTCCAGATTCTTCTGCTCCAGTTTTGATAAATTCACCCCATTGTCTCCTTTGTGTTGTTCAATAGTTTTTATTTTTTTGGGTGGCATTGTTAAAACTTGAAATAAAAACAGACCCACATTTTTATTATTACCAGTTTCTATGTGTTATGATATGGGGCAGGGTGCACTATCACCTAGACGGGCCCTGTCTGCCATGACACACGCCTTGCAGATCATCGGACTGATAGTGATCAATAGCTTATGATGAAAACTAATGCGCAGTCACGCGCAGCTGGTATCGCAACACTAGCAGAGTGAGACTCCCTTGCTGCTGTGGCCCTGAAGCCCCGAATGTTTTGTTTTTTTTAATTTGTGGCTAATAGCCATCGCTGTATGAAAGTCACAAGGCACCTCCTCCGTCTCCTATGAAGACTCAGCACAGCTTATATGATATTACAGCAAAATAGACTTGCAGACAGCAGAGGCTGCTGGTATATTTGTGGTGAGCAGACAGTAAAGAAGGTACATGTTCCCTCTTTTCCTCCACCCCCCACCCCCTGCTGGGTCCTCTCTCCCCATCTCCCTCCCTCCTTCCTCATTACCACTAGTGAGACGTGCAAGACTGCACACACATACAGCCGCAATGCACCCTGGGAGA